GAAAGCGGCAAAGAAAACCACAAGCACTGGCGGGGGAGGAATTCAGCAAGATTGGGCGGTTTGGTAGTAATTTCATAGCTCCAAACATACAAATTCCGCTTCTGTGCAACCTATTTACATACATACATACATACATACATATGTACATGTGTAATGCATATGTCATACGAATATATTTACTATTACAAATTCTCACTGTAGATGCTTGCGGGCACTGCCGTCTTTGTATGATTGCGTCGAAATATCGCCCGATACACATATCTACGTATTTACTCGTATAGCATACACTCATGTACATTTGTCCTCCAGGCCATGTACATTTGTCCTCCAGGCAGGCCGCCAGACAGTTTGTTTCCATTTCGAATTTGGTGAATTATTCACTAGAACACTCTGCCTTGCACCCACCCACGTAAACATAAACTCATTTGAGTATTTGCTATTGTGTTGCATGTGTGTTTGCCGAAATGCCTTTCAGGTCATGTATGTACATAAATATTATAATATTAAAACGACGTTATTTATTGTTTCACCTCATACCTCATGAATTGCCATCCCCTTCGCCGCCTGCTTGCTGCTGCTGTTTATTTAATGCATTTATGGTCCAACAGCTACCACACAAGCTGAGCATTCTGCACTGCAATCCGCATTATTTCCATATTTAGCGTTTCTGCCTGAAAATGGGCATACTCAGACATACATATGTTTTCGACTGAATTTAGGGTATCTAAACCGCGATCCCAATGCACCTGTCCTGTCGTGTCTGTGTGGCACAATGTCATATGTTGATTCATTCAATATATTTCGGATACACCTGCCAAATTCCTTTTGCCACTAACTTCTGTTATAACTGTTTAGGTAAAACTATATAATATTGAAATTTCAAGTTCTTGCCTCATAAAAAAATCGATCTTCCTATCGTATCTATCTATCTTCCTACAACTCAGAAACAATTCCGCCCAATGCTGTTACCTGTAATCTTTCTGACAGCCCTCCTCGGCGTAGGTAGTGGATCAGCAATTTTTTCACTAAACCACACATAGTAAAGTAAGTAGCGATTTTAAAGAAAACAACCTTTTCAAAAATGTACATTTATGCATTTATATACTACATACATACGCAGTGGTGGAAAATAAATAGGGACACGACATCTTAACAACTTTTGCCTATTTTTCTTTTGTTTCTTTAATATTTATTTTTTTGAATAAAAAATGTAGCCCATTATATAAACAAACCATATAAATTCATATTTCAAACTTTGTACAAATTTTATGAAAATTTAACAAAATTGCATTTAAATTTTCAAATCTGTTTTTCAGAATTTTTCTGAGCATGCACTTTTACAGCCCATTAAATTAATAGAATTACGTGTAAGTTTTCAGTTGATAAAGAATCGCGTTAATTTCTTCGCATTTTTCTGAATCTATTACGTACTTTTTTCCATACAAAAAAAAAATTGTTGAACATACTTTTTATGGAACAAAGTGCGTGAAAAGAATTGCCAAACCTTTTTTCGGATACTGTATGATATTTACCTGTTAGCTGAAAATTCTGGCAACTTTCAACTCACAAAGTCTTTCGAAAGAAAAAAGGCTTTCAAACGACAAAAGTCTTTCGTAAGATATTTGTCAAAACTGGTAACTTTCTTGAAAGCTCTTTTCCATCTTACGAAAGACTAATTGCAAGATCTGCTATGGAGGAGACCTTGGCGTTAACTATTCTGTTTGTCTTTTAGCATTGAGCTTTCTAAAAATTAAATTGAATAAAAAAATATATTTTTTTTTTAAATAAGGAATCAAAAATAAAGGTCCTAAAAATTAAAAGGAAATAAAAAAATTAAGAAAATTAAATTAAGTGCAAGATCTGCTGACAAGGAGGCCTTAGAGTTGCTCTGTTCGTCTTTTTGCAATAAGTTTTTTATACCTTCCACCGCTTAGGCTTTGGTGTTTTTTTTTTAAATTTTTCCTAGCAAAGAAATCGTGGTACAAAGCTAAAAAAAAACATTGCTAAAAAATAAAATCTAAAACAAAAATTTTACGAAAACTAAATTTTAAAGGATTCGAACCTCGGATCTCCCGAATGGCACGCCAATGCTTTGCTCTCTCGGCCATTGCGACTGTTGGAGCAGCGCGAGTAAAATTATATGCATACATACATACATTTGCACATTGTATGCAGTGTTGCCGTTGAGAATTTTCAGAAAGTTGCAAAAAGGGATAATTGACGAAAAAGAAGGGTCACCATATTATTTTTGCTTTTCTTTGGTAGTAAAAAAATAAATCTGAGATCCCAAGTCAAAATCAAATTTACATGTGTTATAAAGTATTTTCACTGCTAGAACGTTCCGCTGTTATATTTAAGAAGAAAATAGCTAGACAAGCTTTAAACAAAAGATAGAAATCGAGTTGCTGTAACGCATTTCCTTTAAAAGATTTAAGTGGTGCATTTTTTCGTACTTACAGGAGGAAGTATTTTTTAATATTTAACTTGGTTCTGTTAACATTTCCAAAAAAAACATAATCTCTGAAAAGGGGCAAAAGTTACATATTTTTGTAAAAGAGTCAAAAGATCAAAATTTTCAAAAAGTCGGGTCAAAGGGTATTGGCGCTTCAAAAGGGTTAAATTGCCCCTTTAGTCGCACAACGGCAACACTAATTGTATACACATCCCCATTTGGAACAGAGATTTTCACCATAAAAGTTGGCAAGGGAGCTTTTGTTTGTAAGCGTTTCGTGCTAGAGTAAACAAACTATCCTCCAACAGTCTTTCAATCGCCTTACAAAAGACTTCCAACTATCTTAGCTAAAATTGCTCTGTTAAAGTGACGTAGCGGAGCTTCACGCAATTATAACCGCCCTGCAAAAATCGTTGGACTATGCGGTCCATTTGTTTCATATTGGAGTACTTACAAATTAGTAAGCTGTGCTTTTAGTTGATTTCACAAATTCTCGATGAGATTCATGTCCGTGGATTGTAGAGGTCATTTCAAAATAACAAATTTTTGCTTTTGCATCCAGTCTTTGCGAACATATGCAGTATGTTTTGGTTGCTTTTTCACCAGAAACTCTCATTTTTCGACTACATCTTGCAAATTTTGTTGAAATATGAATAGATACTGTTCCTTACTCATAATGCGTACTAACCCTGCAGTGAAAAATTATCAATTGTTAAAACTAACCAACTTATAGTTAGCTTTTTGGCGAGATTTCGATTAATAACTCACTTTTAATTAGCTATGACAAAACCAACTTAAAGTGAATTGTAAAGTCGTGCAGGAGTCATGCAGACGCAATCGGGAGTTGGTTTTCTTTACAAGTCTCTATTAAATATCCTCATACAAAAATTACTTTCAATACACTTTTTTTCTGAACTTCGCAGATTCTTTTTCATATTCAGGACAAATAAAAGGAAGATCGAAATTTTATACTATCATTTTGAAGTTATGTCTGACGGTGTTTGAATATGGGGCCACCCAGAGCAGAATATGTAAACAAATATGAAATTTAATAAACTAAAGTAAAAAAACAAAAAAATATTTTGTTTTTCTTATTGATATTTTATGTCCAAAAATAGATAGTTACAAGTTAGTTGACATGTAATGCAGAAGTATCCAGGTCTGACTTTTTTGCGGCCATCGCCCCACAAAAGTAGTTAGGTTTTTTCGAACAAAATACACAGTTAATAGTTAGCACTAGTGTTCGTGTAAACAGACTAAAGTTAGGTATAAGCTAACGTCACTCCCTGCAGGGAAGGGACCAATAATATTTTTGAAATACAAACCCAAACTATTATTTACCGACCACTGTGATTCACAGTTTGCCTTACATGATGCGCATGGGCTTAACTTGGGTCTTTGATCCAATACCATGCCCGGCCATCTAATTGAAAGCGCTTAATTTAGTCTTGTGAGACCAAATAACCTTTAATTGAAACTTAAAAATATATTTTTTATTGCATTCTGAACGGCCTAACATATCCCAATAGGCAACGATTCGGGTTTCGTGCGATGCAGCAAAATGCTGCCACACTCGCAAATGTGTTTTGATCAAATTTGCCTTTTTCTTCTTTATGATGCCTTTGCGCTCAAATTGGCACTTCTTCGCCTCGCTGTCTACTGATTTGCATTCAATTTTAATACCTTAAGCGCTTCGGTGGCTGTATCGCTACTTGCTGCTAAGTTCACAAGACATCGGACCGTAATATTTTTTGACAGACTTCGTTTGTCTTTGGGAACACCTTAGGCTATATTTTTTCTCAGTCTTAACATTTTCAAGTAACAAACTTCACAATTTTTTGCCAATTTTCCTGCTGTCCCACCTTTCCGCAGTAAATCTATTATTTACATATATGGTTCCTGATTAACCATTTTAATTACTGGTGATCACTTCTACAGTAAATTACAATACAGAAAAAAGTCATCAGACTTCGAACTAAGTAAAAGATAACTGTAGAAGCCAAAAGTGAGAGTGAGTGCAAAACTGTAACATCTGCCTTAATTTACATGTTTGTCTGTTGTTTTTTTATTGTTGTTGTATTGACTTCAAATCGTTATGAGAGAGGGAGTAGGGATGTACCAACAAGAATATACAACAAAAGTATGAAAGTCGTTAGAACTTGGAAAGATAGCGATGACTGAAGTAAAAAGTGTTACACCATCTTACAGTTTTGCCCGTCACTGTATGTACATACGGCAAACCGAAACGAGAACCTTGAATTGACTATAATCCGGGTTAAGTCCTGTATTTTATGCACTACAACAATTCGTTTACATATTGCTTAAATAAAAGCTCTACGATTTTTTGCGCTAGGTCAGTCTCGAAATCAGCTGATCTTGCGGCGCAAGTGATACGTAAAATAAACGGTGTTATCTTGTGTACATACAACGGTTTTTTTTCGGATTACAGATGAACTGCTGTACATACATATGTACATAATGGGGAATGTATCAAAAAACATCGAAATATTAAGTATATAAACCAGAAGAGTGAGCGAACTTCATCAGAATCATTTTTAGCTCTCAACAGAACAAAGATCTATTCAGTGAACATGGTGCGCACAGTTTTCCGAGTTTTTGCATTGATGTCGGTTGCCATGGTAAGAAAATTGTTTTGCCTACTGGAAATTATAAACATTCAAATATAACAATTTAATTAATACTTCTTCTTAGACATTCTTTGTAGCAGCAACTGTAAGTATGCCTTTCAAGCTTTAGACCCATTTACGAACAATTAAACTTTCTTTAGCCACAATTGCCATGGGGTGTACCTGCCATTAGACCAACAATCAGTACTGAGAATATCGATGGCCCACAGGGCACCTGTCCTGAGCCCACAGAAGAATTGAAGGCGGTAAGTTTTAATGGTTCGCCAACTAAGAAAGTAGCGCAGGGTATTGTGTAGTAGAGACACATAGCGTAGAGTTCTCAGTATTATTAGGAAAGGAGCGCACCATAAAGTTTCTGGCACAGTTTATTTAAATTAAATTTATGATCATAATTTTTTACATGTACCTAACTTGTCTACTTAGAAACAAAGGCATTTATATATCCTCCTATAGAGATTTACTTCGAGAATTTTTAATATACACATCTTTATCCCACAGTGCATACGCCAGTGGGGTTGTCAAGAATTGCTACGTCTCGATCTGCGGTAAGTAATAAATTATGTCTAATGAATAAAACAATAAATATTATGCCGAGTTTCCATTTGGCTTTGAAATTACAATAATGACAAAAAAATTCCAAATGTCACCGGAAACGGACATATTGTTATTTTGGTAATTACGGGATATTTAATACCTAGTTTTATCATTGAAATGTCTGTCAATTCAATGTTAAGTGGAAATTCGCGATAAGAGCCGTTCTCGCACTGCGAGCTAACACATCTTTGGCCATTAATTTATAACATGAGTTAACTCGCCACTCTGAAACCGCCTCTAAATATAAATTTTTATTAAACATAACCGCGATAATCATTGCAGTACATTTGTAACTAATTTGTATATCTATTTCTTCTCTTTTATAGTTGCCTGCTAAACTTGAATGGTATCCCGCTAGTTGGCAATGTTTTGGAGGGTTTATTGGGTGGACTTGGTGGACAGTCTCCAAGACCAGGTGGCGCACAAGGCGGCTTGTTAGGAGGTCCTGGTGGCTTGTTAGGAGGTTCTGGTGGCCTACTCGGATCACTATTGGGTTGATCACACACGTACTATTAAGTTTAAGCTTTTGCTAAATTAAATACATAGATATTCAATGAGAATCAAATAAAATGCATAATACGTATACATACGTATATATATTATATATATTATATATAAAAAACGAATTGAATTTGTGTCTTCCATGACTTTTCGGGCATCCAATTTTATAATAGTGAGGAAATAAAAAGTTTTATTAAAACTTATGTGTCTGCGTGCGCATAGCAGCAACTGATGCAATGAAAGGGTTAATATTCTACTTCGCCCGAATTTCGAGATAGCACTTTCGTTGTTGTTATTGCCGTTTATTGCCAGTAGCGGCAACCCTCTAATTAAAGTTTGCACTGTGTCAGCCATTACAAAAGGATCAAAATGTGATAACCATATCAGTGCAGCTGTATCGCATCGCAACGTTGTGCAGCCAACTAGTGATGTACTGAATTGTCGGTACCTAATACTCGGTACCCAAAACTTAAAAAAGATTTCGGTACCCAATACATCCTTTTCGGTACCCGATACCGATTCTTTACATTAAACCTTCGCCATTATATGCATTTCAAATTTAGAAAAAACTCCCATTACTTATTTTTTATGATATCGACTAAAACACTTGTACTTATCGCAAAAGAGAAATATTATTTTATCAGTTTTAACCTTAGTCGATGCAAGGTTCAAGCAAAATGCTTTCACGGATGAAGAAGCCTTGACCCCAGGCCTACAAAAATGATATCGTCCGATTCAGCTGGAACAAAAATGCTTCAAACAAATAAGAGTTTATCTGCATTATGGCCTCGAACCGACAAATATACAGCCTTCATTTGAACCAGTATTAAAAGCTCTATTGACTCCTACATTATGGTTTTGATAGGCGAGTCTCCCCTGAACCGTTTTTTCCATATGTTTGGCCTATGTGCGCTTTTATTCGAAACCTAAATGTTTCGGTACCGAATATCGAATGTATTGGATACTTTTTAAATCGGTACCGAATATCGATCAATACTAAAAAGTATTGACTCAGCACATCACTACAGACAACGGTGAAGTCGTTTCCAATATTCGATTATTACCATTGAGGCCATTGCGGATTTTCGTTAATTTTCGTATATTACGAAGGAAGCACCTATATTTGCAGCCATTGGAAATGAAACTGCATTAGCAATCTGTAAAACTGCCTAAGGTGCAGGATGCGCATTGGGAGCACCGTTGGAAATTTTATATGTAATTTTTTACCTAACAAGTAAAGAAGTATAAGTTCGGGTGAAACCGAAATTTATATACCCGACGCACGTATTAAATATCGCAAAAGTATTTTTCGCGATGTCAAACAATTTGGATAATTTGCTACGAAATATTGAAATAATGGGAGCAAGTTTGGTGGAAGTCGATAATAGGGCTATCAATATACACTTATGAATGTGGTTATAAGTGGGTGGTGCCACGCCCATTTTACAAAAATAAATAATTTTGTGTCTTGTAAGTTGGCGTTAAAATTAGCTTACTAAATAAGCTTAAATTAATTATTAATTAAATTATTAAATTGGCTTAAATATTATTAAATTATTAAATTAGCTTATCATTATTAAAAATTTATTAAATTAGCTTAAATAGTTACTAATTTATAGCAGTTTTCCCAACCTACTTTAGTTGGACATATCTCAATTTTTTTCTCGACTTATCGTGTATACGGACAGACAGATGGACAGACGGACGGACGGAAGGACAGACATGTCTTAATCGATTTATCTTTTCATTCTGATCATATATGTGTACATTTGTTTATTTCTATCTCGATTCGTGTTGGTTGTTACAAACAACCGTTATGCGAGCAAAGTTATAATACCCTTGTGCACAAGTGCAGGAGTTCGCCCTGATCTTGGAACCTTCTGTAAGTCGCCTAGTTCTACTTGAGCGTTCGGCGGCATCTATTTTTCTGCAGCTAAATACGTGACATTCCTCATCGTACCAGTTGTTCTTTCAGACTCGCTGAAATCCGACTACTTTTTCGGTGCCGGTACTTGAATCAGCGGGAAATGTGGTTCCTCTGCTCGCATATGTTGGTTTGTTGAATACTGCTCTTTTTATGTGGCGCGACCCGAACCCACCGTACACGAGGTTTCTGGCCTTCCCAGCTTTAATTCGCTCCCAAACAGGTCGCATCCCAGAGAATATGTTGACATAAATATCCGGACGTTATGCGCTGAGTTTGGGACAGCCACCCCGCTTCCAATGGAAGATATAGTAACGCCGCGAATGAGATGTTATTCTTTGGTAACGACTACGGCAAACTTTTCAAGGACTGCAATTTGAGGGCATACACCTGGAGTTTCCGGATCCCTAATGGGTATGTGCCTCTGCCTGGCTGTTGATGTAGGAAAAATTCCGCATATTGCCGTAATTGGGAAGGCGGGTTCAACTCGGCAGATGACTAATGCAGAAATTAAACACGGCCATTTGATCCGGACCCTCATTGCCTCTGGCAATGCAGCCAATGCTCGTGGGTATGGGGAGAGGGATAGAACCATTGTGATTGAATGTCCCTTCCAAGCTAACTGGGAAAGGCTCAAGGCTGAGGTGCAAAAAATACTGCGAATAGGGGAAACAGGCTTCACTCTATAGATTACCCCTCTCAGGAAAGCGCTCTGTTGGATTCCAGATCCTGATCTGAAAACAGCGGACGTGCTCTCTTGCTTCCGTGATCCATGAGTTAACACCAAGCACTGGCATGTGAAAAAAAAACTTGGAAAAAAACGGACTGGCCGTATTTTATGGAGGAGCTTGGGAGCCAGACCACGATGGCATCTAGGATACGTTCCACTCAAGCCATTTATGAGGCGGTAGTTGATTTAATCGCTACCTTACGTACTAGTCCCACTTCTTAGCCGTACTCCTGTTCTCTGGTGGAACAACAATTTTAGAGATGGACAGGAAACTCTTTTGCTGCACGAAAAGATAACAAAAGAGGCTAATTTCCTCTGCGAAGAGACCTCCTTCAAAGAATACTGCAGCGGGATTGAAATCTTGGGTTGAACCACTAGGCTGGTAAAAGTTCTGAGGAAGGACCAAACCACAAAGTTGGGATCACTTAAGAGGGCTGATGGCTCTTTAACGTAGGCTATGATTGAGACTCTCTCTGTTCTTTTAGAGACTCACTTTCCTGCGTCAAGGTACAACTGGTTTGTTTCCAGAACTGTGGCGAATGAACATACCATAAGATATGCTATTGAGTCTTTTGACTATTATACCTAAAGAAGGTGCTCAGCTTTTGTTGGCGACCTTGAAAAAGATTTTCACAGTGTCGCTTGCATTTGCCCACACACCACAACCCTCGTAGGATTGGATGTCGCCTTTATACCCTAGTTTGGTAAAGATGACTATACTAGCCCCAGAAGCTACAGGCCTGTTAGTATGACATCATTTATGCTAAAATGTCGGGAAGGGATGGTAGAGTTGCGCATTCGTAGGAAGGCGCTCATGACTTTCACTGTTTTTGCATCAACATGCCTATTAGGCTGGAAATCCTGTGAGACGGCTTTGCGAATTCTGGTGGCCAGAATTAGAAATGCAGTAGGAAATAATTTGCTTTTGGCATTTTTGTAGACATTGAGGGTGCTTTTGACAAAAGCCCCATCGACAGCATGTGCAATTCTGCTCTACGGCATGAAGTAGATTCTGTACTGGTAAATTGGATTCGTTCAATGCTGGCGCAGCGGGTTATCAGGATTAAGGCAGAAGGAGGTCAATATGTCACGCGCGGAGTTAACAGGCGATGCCCTCAAGGTGGTGTGTATTCCCCTTTGCTCTGATTTCTGGTAATTGATTCTCTTCTCGTCAATCTTTATGACTCTGATATCTACGCTCAAGCCTATGCGGACGATGTGGCCTACCTATTCACGGCCCATCGCTGCCGGCTGTTTGCAGGAAAGCGCAGACAATACTGAATATGTATCTTTTTTGTCCGAACAGTTACAATTTATTTTATTTTATGTTTGTAGGCTAGTCTGATCGTTTGAGTTTTGGTGCGAACAATTATTCCACTTTTTACTGAGTACGATTGACACTTGGTGCGATGTAAATGGGCTCAACCCAACCAAAACTAATGTTCTGCTCTTCACTGGAAAGAGAAGGTCGGATGGTGTCACTCCCCTCACACTTAAAGTCACAATTCAGACTTCTCCTGAAGCGAAGTATCTAGGAGTAATTCTGTATACAAAACTCTCTGGGAAATCTCCCGTACACACAAGACTTCCAATGCATTGGCAGCTTTGTGGTAATGTAAACGGTTATTTGGCAAAACGTGGGGTCTGTCACCAAGGGGAATCCTCTGAATCTTTTACCTTTATGGTAGGACCCATAATCAGCTATGCGTATTTATTGCCTTGGCGATATGTAACAGCCTCCAATCATCGGTCGGTATGCCGGGATTTTGCCGTTTTAGTAGGCGGAGTGCATGCTGCGGATTTACCGTGCGAGGTATTTACATTCCGCCTATCTATGGGATGCAACTCCGGTCGACAATTTTCAAAGATGCCCCTCCCACAGGTTTGGAAGCATTTTTACTGCTTCCTTTATCCATGTCAGCGAGGTTTCGTTATTGTATTTAATAATTTTGACTCCGCTAAACCACCCTGGTCTTTCAAATGTTGGCATGGGTGAGTTTGAGTTGGCTTCCATTCTCGGGAAGGGAGTTCCAATCTGATCCGAGGAACTAAACCTTTACCTTGTCGCGAAGTGAACGCGCCAAGCCAGTCGTTCTTTCTCCTCTTTCGTTAGACTGCACTTGTGGCTAAGTCTATCCTGAATCTTAAGGGCGGCCTTGTATAGCACTTTAGCGTTCATTCCCTCCTTATTGCGCTTGACCCGAGGCCTTTTCGTTGCCTCTGAAGAAGCACCTTCGGGTCCTAGACTTGAGAAACTTCGGCATCTCTGTGTTTCGATTGTCGGTTGGTAGTAGTACTGCTGTGAACTTCTCCCTTTATAGCAGCGGTGTTGCCGCTGGTGACGCAGCTTGCAATCTCGCCGTGCCCGCCGGTGGTAGCAGCCACTGCTCCACCGACCTTTTCGC